TTTCTTTCTTTCATCCTTCCTTCCTTCCACTAATTCCTTCCTTTCACTAATTAGCAGGCCAAGAAAATGCTGTCACTGTACAGTACCCTGACCCCAATAAAGCACTTGGCAAGGTTTCTCATGAGGTCAAGGATGGAAAATGTTGGCTAGAGGGTAGAGGTGGTATTTAGCAGGTTTTGACCAGTTCTGGAGAACTGGTAGCGGAAATTTTGAGTAGTTCGGAATACCGCCTCTGACTGGCCCCGCCCCCATCTATTCTCTGCCTCCCTTTGAGTCCCAGCTGATCGGCTGGGTCTCCTTTTGTTGCACAGGAGAACGGAGCTGGAAAGCAGGTGAGTGGGGTGGGGAGGGAATGGGGATTTTACAGTGTCCTTCCCCTGCCATGCCCACCAAGTCACATCACGCCCACAGAACTGGTAGTAAAAAATTTTTGAATCCCACCACTGCTGGATGGTCCTGTGAATTTGCAACTGGTTAAACTTGTTTAATGCCTATAAATGATTTTGTATCATGCTGGAGGGAAGGATTGTATGCAGGGGTGGGCTGCTACTGGTTCTCCCCAGTTCGGGCGAACCCGTAGCTAACCAGCAGCTAATTTTATGGCCGGTTTGGTGAACCGGCAAATTCCACCCCGGCTGGTCCAGTCCAATGCAACCCTCCCAGGAGTCTCCATATGGCCCGTTTTGGATGCCAAGTAAGTGCGGGCCCACACGGAGGTTTGGAGAGGGCAAAACTTGGGCCTCCAGAGCCCAGGGAGGACGTTTTAGCCTTCCTGGAGGTTCGAGGAAAGCCTCCGAAGCCCAGGAAGGGCGAAAAATGGGCCTCCCTGAAATTCAGGAAGGCCAGAAATGGACGGGCCCGGGGAGGATGAAAACACCCCCACCCCCACCGTGGTGCAGGAGGCCAACTAGGCCACGCCCACCATGGCTACACCCACCCAGCAACCAGGCAGAGAACTGGTTGCTAAAATTTTTGAAGCCCACCCCTGATTGTATGGTGCCATCTTTAGACATGAAATGGAAGACGCCATGTAGAAGGAGGGATGGAAAGACTGAGGAAAATGATCTTAATAGAAATATGTAAGAACTATCACTCAGGTAAAGGAGTCCAAAACATTTTTTAATTCCTCATAACATGATCCTTTGGAGTAGAAGAAATGGGCGGGGAGATACAGCACAACCAGACTTGTACGTTTCTGTTGTTAGAGCCAATGTCCTTGGTGCTCTCTGAGCTTGGTGGTTCTCTGGCAGACGTTTCATCACCAAACTAGGTAACCTCATCAGAGCACAGTGAAGGAGCTTGAATCTAAATCTCAGCTGTCTCCAACAACAGAAATGCCTAGTCCTCCTAGTAGATATATTTGATGAGACATTTATTTGATTCTTTGCCCAAGATATTTTGAGTGGAGGATTTCCCAGTAACCACACTTTAACAGATTAACAGAGTTGGAAGGGACCTTGTAGGTCATCTAGTCCAACCCCCCACCCACCCAAGCAGACCCTACACCATTTCTGTCAGATAGCAGGAGATTCTACACCATTTCTGACAAATGTCCAGTCTCTTCTTGAAAGCCTCCAGTGATGAAGCTCCTGAAACTTCTGAAGGCAACTTCTGTTCCTTTGGTTAATCTCACTGTCAGAAAATTCCTCGTTATTTCCAGGTTGAATCTTTCCTGGTTCAGTTTCCATCCATTATTCCTTGTCTGGCCTTCAGGTGCCTTGGAAAATAGCTTGCTTGCCCCTCCTCTCTGTGGCAGCCCCTCAAATATTGGAAGACTGCTATCATGTCTCCCCAGCACAAGACATTATGATTCCTTGATGTGCTGAGTAGTAAAATGGGCTATGTTGTGTTCAAACTCACTGGTGTGAGTTGTTTTTAGAGACCAAGAGAAGGTTGAGATATTAGGTGCCATATTTCCTGTTCATAGGTATCATTGCCACATACATAAGTGTATTTTGGCTTAGTGTTCAGGATCTCTCTTAGAATGAGGTAGTGTTTAAGGAATACGCAGCTGTGGAGTTACCTCACGAAATCCTTAATAAATTGGCTGGTTTTTAAGCGGCCCCCTGATTCGGTAGTTCTCTCTGATGATTCACAAGTGTCCGGTTGGAGTTGACACTCAGTCTTTTGAAAGTAATCTCTCAACAGACTCCTCAGCCAAAGAGCTGAGCTAGGAAAAAGTTTGTCTTTCTTTGAAATAGAAAGCCTGAAAAGAACGACTGGCCAGTTTTGCTCCGTTGCCCAGAAAAGAGAACCAGTTTGATGTAGTGATGAAAGTGTTGGTCTAGAACAGGAGTCTCCCAACCCCTGGTCCGTGGACCGGCCCCGGTCCACAGCCTGCCAGCAACCGGTCTGTGCAAACAAGTGAAGCCCCATCCGCAGAATGCAGGCCACACACGAAACCATACTCCCTGAGGTCTGTGGAAAGACATTTCTCTGTGGAACCAGTACCTGGTGCCCAAAAGATTGAGGGCAGGGGTGGGATTCAGCCGAACCGGTAGTTGAACCGACCGTCTGGCCCCGCCTCCCCTCCCCTCCTAGGAGTCTCCACACTGCCCTTTTTGGATACAGGTAAGTGCAGGGTCTGCATGGAGGCTCTGGGAGGGCAAAAAAGGCCCTCCCAGAAGTCTGGAAAAGGCCCTGTTTCCAGCTTCCAGAGGGCCTCCAGAGCTGGGGGAGGCCATTTTTGCCCTCCCAGAGGCCTGAGGGAAGCCTCCGGACTCTGGGGAAGGCGAAAACAGCCCTCCCGGAAGTTTCAGTAGGCCATGCCCACCATGGCCACGCCCACCCAGCAACCAGGCAGAGAACCAGTTTTTGGGATTTTTGAATCCCACCCCTGATTGGGGGCCACTGGTTTAGAAACAGGAGATGGTCAGCGCTAGCCCCACCTTCCTCATAAAAGCCAAATGGATGACTTTGGGCCAATCACCAGGAGACAGTGAGTTGTCACAATCCCGCCTTAGGTGTGGAAAAAATAGCTAGGTGATCTGGGCCAGTCATTCTCTCTTAGCCAAATTCACCTCACAGGGTTGTTGCATTAGGTACATTCACCCCCTTGAGATATAGAAGGGAAAAAAGGTGGGATAAAAATATTTTTTAAAAAAATTAGCAGGTGAGGCTAAATTGAGAAATGGAAGAATAGGTGTGGGGGTGTAAAGCCCTCTCCTCACATAATGCCATTTCCTTTCTTCTTCATTTTTTTCTGACAAGAAACCTTCAATCTCAGCTATATTGATAGTACAATGGAACCTCCCTCCGGTCACGACCGTAATATGTTCCAGGACTTTGGTCGCAACCCGATTTGGTCATGACTGGAAACAAGACGGACTGCGCATATGCTCACACAAAAAGAATGGCACGGAAGTGGAAATCGCCGTGGCAGGGAAAATCGCCTTAGCTTTGTTTGGTTGCCACACGAGGATGTGTTCACAATCAGAGTGAAACACTTAGCGGATTTTTTTTGGGTCGGCCCCCGATTTGGTCGTGGTCAGAAGCGTTTGTGAGCTGAGGTTGTACCATAAATATAAAGAACTCTTGCCGTTTAAGAGCTTGGGGTTTGGTTTCATATTTATAGAGAAAGAAAGTGGCTCTTGATGTGGGAGAGACCATAGACATTGAAGTTATTAAGAGAACCACCAGGCTGGTAATTATGATTCACAATCGTTGGGATGCGCATACTTTTAGCTAGCCAAGATGATATATTTCCCAGGAGTCTTGGGATTA